TCATTTTTTAATCTTTGGACTTGATTCAGTTTTCTCTTCAAATTTTTATGAATAATGAAGAATGGAGTTGCACCAGTCTGAAAGTAACATTAGATCACAATTAAAGAGAGGACCGAAAGCTTGGCCCCATGAGAGTCAGCAGTTCTGCCATGGATTGTAATTAACTCTGAATTTTACCCTTTATGTTCAATGTATCTCTCCACAAAACAGTTTTGAAAGCTTACTCTCTCTAGTGAATTTGAAATTCTCAGTCAGCAAAACTATTTCTGACCTTTTTTAAAAAAACAAATAATAATTTAAACAATTTTGAATGTAAATCCAGCTTTTTGCTATTTCAGATGACCTCATCAATAGACATTTTACAGTATCCATGCTTACAGTAGGGATTATGGACCGGAGGTACATTATTCTTACTCCTCTCTTTATAATTTTAAACATCAAAGTTATTAACATCTGAACATTGGTTACTTCACCTCCACAGTAACTTTTTTCCATAACATTTAAATACGTATATTTCTGTATTAACATTGTGCAAAGAAATACAATGTTTTATAGCAGAAACCCTGACAGTTCATTAAATGCAGCACAACTAGCTGGAACTCCTGCAATAAGCCATCACCACATGCAAGGATGCTTTGAGGATGTAGTCACTGATGAGGAACTTAAACAAGAGGAACTAAATTGAATTTTAAAATTGTGTTCATGGCTGGGACAGAACTCTACATCACTGGACCAGATTTGATCATGTCAAATATAAACCCTGTAATTTTCCCTTCTCCTGTGAGAAATGTTCAATCAAAGGCAGAGTGAAGTAGCACAAGATGCAATAGTTCCGTAAAATAGGATAACTGTGGAATTCAGTTCTGGGTTTATAAGTCAGCAAGATTTTTCAAAGTTTATTGCTTAGTATTGACTGATCTCCAACTGCCGATGCACTGTCACTTGCAAGCAGAAATTTGAAAGAGGAAAAGCAGATGCTTTTTGCTGTAGATTGATAACACTTGGTTCTAGTCACCACTGGTTATTTTCTTTAGGCAAGAGGTAATTTTATAGATACTAAGTGGAAGCTGGCATATAAAATTACCCATATACCCAAAGAATAAAAGTCAGCAGCTAAACTTAAAATTGAAAGTAAACTTTACTTGCACACTTCCAAAAATATTCAATCACTTCACAATGCCCTCGCTCCTGTTGCAATATCCACCCAAAGGCAAAGGACTCATTTACAAAGAAATATTGAGGACTTGTTTCGTGACAAATGAGTGATAACACAGGGAAAGTATTGTACCTCTAAAGGCTTAAGTCTGTTCTGACATGGAAATGAAACCTTCTATGAATTACAGCTCATTACAATGCAATCCTGATTCTTACAACAGGCAATCTTCAATGCATTTAATGAAAAACTATATTTTTTGTTACTGTGCCTTTCTAGGCTTTTAGAATGGATTCCTACAAGAAAATAAGTCCTGGGATGTTTCTGTTAATAACACTAACAATACAGAACTATTGCTGTATTGTTAAGAGATGCTGTATATCATCATAATGACTACTGGTATTTTAAAGTTGCCCAGGAGCAAGAAAGTTATCGGCAACTATGCTCATTTCTCATTTGAACTGAATGGATTTTTGGTACTCTTTATAGCAAGGACTTAACTTGCATAACAAAGTGCCAAACTTCACATCGATTTTTAAATTACAAGTTTTATTATTATTTTTTCTTTTTGTTTAATTGTGTCCCAGTTGAGTCACAGTTTTAATTACATTTTACTCAAGTTTTTTCTGGCAAAGTCCAGACAGTGAAAAATTACACCTTCGTTCTGCAGAGGTGGGCAAAAGTCATTGTTTTCCCTTGATCAATATATAAATTAGTCAACAATTAACTTGCCATAAAAATAAATTGGCTCCACATTGATTTGTCTCTCTCATGGTAGCACTAATATTTGTGTACAAATGGGAATTGGTTCTTCTCTCATTTTATTTTCCTAGCAGTAATTACGTTAAACAAACCTCAGGATATGGCATGCTGTTGGCCAGGCAAAAGACAACGGAGAGAAGGATGGTGTTTGGGTACCTTTTTAGAGGCAAAAATCCCATTGCCTCATTAACAGCTCGGTGAAAATGTTCCTTAACCTTGTCTGTATCTTCCTGAACTGCAAGAGATGTACCAGCACTTTTTTATAATGGGAGCACAGTTAAAGAGAAGAGGGTCTGTATTTTCCCTGCACTTTACCGTCTCCAAAGGAATACCCCAAGACCTTGCTTCCCAGACATGGAGCCTGCACTTAAAATAACGAATGCTGATGCTCTCACATGACTCTTGGTTCTGGAGATTCAAGAAAGTAATGTAACAGAATATGAGATGGGATTAACAGGAAAAACTGATAAAGCTTCATTGACAAAGAGCTTGAGTGGGGAGCATACAGGAAGCAGGTCACTGTGGGGTTCTGATGGGAGCATTCACTGCAGAAAGTAAAAGAGCAGAAGCAGAGAAATGAGAAAGAGAGGAGCTGGTCAAAAAAATGAGGAGGGAAGCAGCTGTTTGAATGATTCAGTGTAAGAATATGGTAGGAAAGATTAACACTTCATAGCCTGGCAGACAACTCCCCAAGCACTACGTTTTTTAAAATGAACCACATGGAGCAAAGGAATGAGATGAAACAATGCTAAATTAGTCCTAACTTGGTAGTATCTTAGTAAAGCACATTTTTTTCCCCAAATCAAACAAATCTTTACAATGGCATTTGCATTGAATATATTTGGAAGAAAACCAGCTACATTAAGAATTCCCAGTTTGCACCTAATCTTCATGTGAGGCCCTCTCACAGAGGGTGTAACAGTCAAGTTTATAATTCTGCAAAACTGCAGCTGCACGTTTCCCTTCTGCAAAAAGGAAAGGGAAAATAAAGCCAGGGAGAAAACTACAAAACTTTCAAAGTGGTTGAAACTAGTGTATAAAAAGGTTTTTTCTAACCATAAGGCAATTTTC